GCAGCGCCGCTTGCTATGCGGCCTTCAGTCGCGGGACCCACCCGCGAGCCAGCGATTGGTTGCTAGCCAGCGATTGGTTGCGCGCCAGCGATTGGTTGCGACCTGCTTGGCGCCCGCGTCTTCGTTTTATTTATTAAAAAAATGAATCCGGGCTCGGGACGCGGCACAAACGGGGCAAAAACCTGCCTACAGAGGCCAAGTTCGTTTTCTGCTAGAAAATTCTTTATCGAGCTGTGGCCAACGCGCGTCGTCCTCCGCTTTGAGCTTCCCGCGGGACATCGCTCGCGTCGCAAAACAAACGCGTCCAGCAAAGCCAACAACGCCCCCCAGCAAACCGAACACCTCCAAACGCCTCCAGCCAGCAACCACGGACAGCAACCACGGCCGGCAACTGCATAAAGCACAACACCAACCCAGACACCAATGCCGAGGCCCGTCACCGCAATCGTCATGCTGCTCCTCTCCTCAGCCTGCGCCCAGGATCTGGTCCGCAGCGTTCACTACGAGTACCGTCCCATCGCACGCGGCAGAGGAGGAGGAGGAGGTGTTGGCGGCGTCGTCCCGGGTGTCGGGCTCAGCGTCCTATCGGGCGTGCTCTTGTGGTGGAATGAAGGGCGGGCGGTGCGCGAGTCGCGAATGCTCCGCCGGCTGCTGCCTTCGCTTGTGCGGCTCGACGCCGACTCTCCACCCGACCCGACTCACGACGGAAGACTGGTCCACCTGAGTGGCCCCCTCCGCGCGAGCGGGCTCGTCGATCCCGAGTGGGGGCTGCAGCGGCAGGGCGTGCTTCGGCTCCGCCGCAGTGCAGAGGTGTACCAGTGGAGAGAGGAGCGGACCGAGACTTCGCAGCGCGTCTCTGAGAGGGAGGTGCGGAGAGAGGTCACCCACCGCTACCGCCGAACCTGGGGCCGCGTGCCCGTGGACTCGTCGCGATTCGAGGCGCCGCACGGCCACCACAACCCCGAGCCGGTGCTGCCCGTGGGCGACACGACCTTCACGGCGACGGACGCGGCCTTGCCCGGCGGCATCCATGTGCCCGCAGGCCTCGTCGCTCAGCTCTCCGACTACGCCGCAGTCCCGCTGGCCGGAGCCGGACTGACGCAGCCCAAGCACCTCCCCTCCGCTGCGATTACCGGCGTGGGAACCGTCTCCATCCCTTTTCAGCAGCGCGGTGCGGCGCTGTCCAGGCCGCTGCCCCCCGGCTCTCCGGTCCAGACCACGGACGACGTCCTCCGCCAGTCGGGAGAGGCTGGCGGCAGGACCGGCAGTCTGACCCTCCGCCCGGCCGGGGCGGCGGCCAGCGGCGAGACGCCGCCGCTGCCGGTGCTGCGGGGGCCGCCGCCCGCTCCCGAGGTTGGCGACGTGCGGCTGCGCTGGAGCGAGGTTGCCTCGCCTGCGGAAGGCGTGAGCATCCTCGCCAGGCAGGGGCGGCGCGGCGAGCTGCTGCCGTGGTCGGACGAGGCTGGCCGCGGCGTCTACCGGCTGGTGCGCGGCGTGGCGTCGGCCGAGGAGATGGTGCAGCAGCTGCGGCGCGAGGAGCGAGCCAAGAAGTGGCTGGCTCGCGCGGCGGGCTGTGGCGGCGCCGCGCCACGGAGGAGTTGCCGGCCCTACCCGCACCTCTCTGACTTAGCGCCTCGCGCCGCACAGGCATGGCTCTCGGACTGCGGCTCATCCTCGGCGCCGCCACCGACCTGATCTCGCGCCTGCCCTTCGGCATCGGCCCGCTGCTCGCAGCGCTCACCGGCCCGCTCGCCACGCTGCTCTCCATCGGCACCGGCGCCGGCCTCTCTGCCATCATCGTCGCGCTCGCTTGGGTGCGATTCCGACCGCTCGCCGCGGCAGCGCTCTCGGCGGCAGCCGCCGCCTTCATATACGTTCCCGCCGCACTCGCCCGCGCACACCGCGACGCGCCTCTGGCGCCGAGAGGTGCGCGCGCCCGATGAAGTGACCCTCATCAGACATCACGGATCTCGCTTTCTGTTTCCCGGATGCATGTTGAGTATGAGTTGGGACTGGACCGCTGGACCTGGTCCCTGGAGAGCTCGCGCAGCCGGGCGCGCCGCGAAGGAGCGCGCGTGCCGCGTGTGTGTGGCGAGTGGAGAATGTTAGATTATGGAAAACACGCTGGACGATCACACCGCTCCCTCGCACTACAGGGAGATCATGATCGATGTGACCTTTTCTTGAGCGTGGCGCAAGGGGAGAGGCGCCCAAGCAGCATCTCACCTTGCCCTGGCCGCCAGCGCGCCGTTGGCACTGCCCTATGCTCTCGGGCTCGCTCTAGCGCCAGCACTCGGGGGGGTGGGGAGGGGGATAAGACGAGGGGTCGCCCCGGCCGCCGGCGCGGCCTAGTCCTCCACCTCCTTGGCCATCGCCTCGGCCTTCTCAACCGCCTCCTCCATCGGGCCAACCATGTAGAAGGCCTGCTCGGGCAAGTGGTCGTACTTGCCGGCGAGCAGGCCCGAGAAGCCCTCGACCGTCTGCGCGAGCGAGCAGAACTTGCCCGGCTTGCCGGTGAAGATCTCGGCGACGTGGAAGGGCTGCGAGAGGAAGCGCTCGATCTTGCGCGCGCGCGCCACAATCATCTTGTCGTCCTCGGAGAGCTCGTCCATGCCTGAAGAGGAAAGAAGGGGGGGGGGGGGGGTCAAAACGGGCGGTGGGGGGGCTGGGGAGGTGGGGGGGGGTGCACGGCGGCCAACCCTCCCCTCCCCCGCAGGGCGCACCGAGGATGGCGATGATGTCCTGCAGCGCCTTGTAGTCCTGCAGCACCTTCTGCACGCCGCGCGCAACCTCGTAGTGCTCGTCGCCGATGACGCGCGGGTCGAGGATGCGCGAGGTCGAGTCGAGCGGGTCGACGGCGGGGTAGATGCCCTTCTCGGCGATGCCTAGAGTCCAGGCGGGGCCGGCTGGGCGGCGCGGTGCCTCCCCTCCCTCTGGCGGGCCGAGCGAGGGCGCGCCGCGCGAGAGCACGGTGGTCGCGTCCAGGTGGGAGAAGGTGGTGGCGGGGGCGGGGTCGGTCAGGTCATCGGCCGGCACGTAGATAGCCTGGACCGAAGTGATGGAGCCCTTCGAGGTGGTGGTGATGCGCTCCTGCAACCCTCCCATGTCGGTCGCGAGGGTCGGCTGGTAGCCGACGGCCGACGGGATGCGGCCGAGCAGCGCAGACACCTCGGCGCCCGCCTGGGTGAAGCGGAAGACGTTGTCGACGAAGAGGAGCACGTCCTGCCC